CTCTCTCTTTTCCTCCTCCTCCCGTTGTTGTTGTTGAGAGAGAGAGGAAACCTATTTCTACTGTGAAAAATCCAGAAACAAATAAAATTTAGCCTTGGAAATCGGTTACCCTATTTTGGAAAAGCGGTTTCTGCTTCGAAATTTTTTTGTTTTTTTTGTTTTTCACCAACACAAACCTCAAGCTCAAACTTCCAAAAATGATAACTCTTTCATTTCTCAACCAAATGCAAAAGTGTAAAGATCAAAGTTGCTATGTTTTTTACAAGGATTTCAAAGAAATGTAGACATTATAAATTAATTTCAAGAATGAGTGTAAATGATAGATTAAACTATGAGTTCAAAGTTAGAAAAATTTACCAAACATAGTGAGTTTGTTGCTACTTTAAATGTGATTACAGTAGCAAAAGAATGATCCTCTTAGCTTCCTTGGACTTTAATGAAGCTATTGATGTGCTTACTTTGATTTGAAACAAACTCAAACTTTCTTACCAATTTAATGTGAGAACTCAAAAAGTGAGAAATGGAGGTATAAATTGGGTGGTTACAGAAGAAAACTTAAGGTTATAGTAGCTTCTATATGACGTATGGAATATGTTTGGATGATTTGTTTGCAAAGAACTTGCAAGGATTGTGAGTTTTGTGTTTGAGGTTGAAGGATGCAACAATGATGGTTTTTGTGTGCAAACTTGGTGGTCTTAGCAATGAGGCTTGAGGATCTATTTATAGTGGATGCAATGAGCTTAGGGAGAGGCTTTGGACTAGTAAAAATAATGAAGAGCTTGGTTTAGCTCAAATTCAAACAAAAGTGTCAAGAAATGCATTGTAACTTATGTGTAAAAGAACAAAAATAGTATGACTTTATTGGATGCTCTTTGATGGAGTATTGTAGATGTTTTATATGGAGTATGGGCTGATACAAATTCAGTTTGCAAAGCTCAAGATTACAAAGCAATATTTTTGGATATTTTGACAAAATTCACTTTATGCTTTTGGTCCATTTATGATGTGGAACTTGGACAATGCATGAAATACTTAAATAATATAGTGTCAAAGTGTTTAACACATCAGAAATTTTGATGTTTGGAGGTCTCACTGCAAGGTTTTATGGATCATGAGGTTAGGCACAAAATTGTGCATGAACTTGAGCATATAATTGTATTTCCAAATCTCTCTTCCATGACTATTTTGTGGCTTCAAAACTCTCAGCTCAAGCATCATATTTTCATGCTCCTGGATTTTTTGGAAAGCTTGAATCATTATCTACAACTTTCATGTTGAGCACTTGGACTGAATCAATTTGGATCATGGAGATAAATGACCATAAAGTCAGCTACTTGACAAGGACAAAATGTTGGAAAATTTTTTATAAGTATTGGTTAATGAAGTCATGGCTTTATGAACTCATATCTTCTTATCTATGCATTTTTTGGAGATCAACCCTAACTGACAAAGTTGTAGTATGAAATATCATATTCATTTTGAGTATCGAAGCAAGAAAAATGGTGCCTTGATGAAGAAATTACAAGCTTGCAAAGTAGTGCACTTGAACATGAGAATTTAGGGGACTTAGTGAAAATTTCACTATTCTTCTACTTTACCCCTTTTGCAAGTAATTTCAAATCTCTTTATTTCTCTTGATCAAATTCACATATCCACTATATTTTCATGAAATTTAACTCGGGGAGTTCATATTTGACCAAAAATCTCAAAAGTCAAAGTTTGACTTTTGACAATAGACTTTTCCAGGTGAATTCAAATCTTTCAATTTCAAAGGAATCTTGTAACCATGATGCAATCCTTAGCATGCTAAGATATCCTTGAAGTCCATGATATGATGAAGCCTTGAGTGATACATAATTGAAGACTCCTTGCTCCAACACATCTATCTTGTATGAGAAACAAACACAACAAGATAAACTTCTGTATTTTTATGATGTTAGTGATGTATAAATGAATGATATGATTTCTAAATGATGCAAAATGAGGTGAGATCTTAGGTCAAAAATTAAGGTACAACACTTATTATCTTGGGTTTGAGTGATACATATATTGAGAACTAGAGAGGTTGAGAAATACATGAGTAAAAACTAATGGTTTGTTCTTGGGAGTCTTTAGGATTTGTTCTTGAGAATTCTGAAGGTGAAAATTATTTTCTTATAACTAATTTATAATATTTGTACTTATTTTCTCTCTCTTTTCTAAATGTAGATCGTTTAATCAAATTGAATAAATAATTTTTATTTTTATTTTTTTTGTTTTACTTTATTATATTTTATATTTATTGATTATTATTGTTGAAGGTCATTAATGTGATTATTATTTTTGATTATAATAGAAGATTCACATTGTCACACCAATATCAATCATTAATGTTTTTTAATATATGATATACTAGCTTACGAGAGTTAGTATAATTTATTAGTTGAAAAAAATGAGATTCGAATCTACCCTACTATTTTATAGTTTATCCAAAGTTTAAAAAGCAATATAGAATAGGACAGGGTTACACTACACACATGAACACCAATTTGTTGTAACACTTTAAAGTGACTTTATGAATATTCAAAGGAGACAAATTGGAATGTGTCTGTGACCAGGAATTGCGTAGAATCCATCCTAATGACCAAACTTTGTTAAGCTTTCCCCACTTTCTTTCATTCCTTTTGATGCTGACCCCTACGCCCCCACCCCATCACACTCATCCATTTCACTTACTTTTTTTATTTATTATATATTTATCATATTTAATACTTTTTTTTATTGTTTAAAGCATTTTTGTATAAAATTGTTCTAAAAGTTTTGCATGTCATGTTGATTTATTTACAAAACTATTGATATCAAATGTAGAATTAAAAAACACATATTAGTTTTTTTTCTTCTTTCATATTATATCGTTAAGGAGAAATAATTTTAAGAAAATAACATTTTTTACAAAATTATTACTATAACTGTTTTTCTTAATCCTTTGTTATTAGTTCGAACTATAAGAGGAGGTTTGTTTTAAGGTGTCAAAATTTATTCCTTAAAATTACTATTCAAGGAAAATAAATGTAAGAAATTTATTTTAAGGTATTCTTCTCAAAAATTATTTGACAAAATTTTTACTATTCTCAGAAATATTGTAATTTTTATTAATTTATTTAAAAAAAGTATATAAAATTTCATGGAAATTCAGTTTTCAATCCTTTAACATGGGAATAATTCCATGAGAATAAGAGAAATTATAAGAAGTTATTTTCTTCCTTGGAATCATTATTCACCGGAATAATTTTTTTCAACCTTGTAACAAACATGAATTTCCTCACTGTTTACCTATGTATTCTCAAGAATATAATTTCTAAACTTGAAACAAACACACCCTAAATAAAAAACGGAATAGTGAAGAGTCTGGGTAAGATGAATTTGCAGATTAACATTTAATCATTTAAATCAATAGAATATTTAAATAATAATTTAAAGTAAGAGAGAAAGAGATATTTGAACCATGCTCATATAGGATGAGCGGTTAAATCTCTATCGATTAACCTGACATATTATGTGGATTGTCATTTGATTAGATTTGACCGTGGGAGACAAGTCAAAGGTTGAGATTGCATGCTCTGTAATTGACTGAGGTCGAATTTGTTCGATGTTAGTTACTTATATTTTCTATGTTGAACTCGATGATTGGAAACAAATATGTGTACCTTTCCGTCCAGAACACCTTTAAAATTTATGAGATATTATAATCTTATAACAAAAAGATATTTAACTTTCATATTTTTTGGGTTTCTATTCTAGTCGTCCACGAGACCTGCGAAAAAGTCCTATAAGAAATGTTGAAGAAGAAGGCACGCCGAACATGTGGACTCTCATGTATGTTGAGGATACACGATCACACTCTCTCTATTACATCTCTCGCTATTAGACAAATTATACGACAATTCACACAAGACGTCAAGTCACACACTAGCGATTTTAACCGCTCATACTATATAAAGACCGGATCACACTATTTCATGTATTTAATCTATTCCCACTCTACAACTACTTTTCGCTTAATCATTAACTTAAGCATCAGAGTGTAACCTTGTAAATCTACCTCTCTCGGTTGTATAAAAAAATTGCTTCATCTTGCCAAAACTCTATTTCGTCATTTTACTATACATTTCTGATTCCTTAACGAAGCAATTGATTCCTTTCATTTTTCTATAAAAACCATAATTTTTTTCACCATAAATTCGAATCACCAACCTTCTTTATAATCACCAATCTTCTTTATAATTAAGCAAATATAATCAAATAAAAATTTATTAAAAGTACGTTAAATTACCAAAAACATATTAATTGCTTTATTTTACTTTGTCGATATGATAAAAAATTTATTTTTGAATCAAGAAATACTAGTAATTGTTTTTATAAAAGGTAAAATATTCATGTTGGTCTCTTAATTATATTTTTTGATTCATATTGATTTCTTAATTTTTTTTTTGTGTCATGTTAGTCCTTTAACTTTCAAAAAATATCATTTTAATCATTTTTGTCTAATTAACGACGGAAAAATTTTAAAATCGATTGCTAAATATATCGCTAATTAGACAAAAAGAATTAAAATAAAACATTTTCAAAAGTTAAAAAACAAAAATGACACGAAAAAAAATTAAAGAACCAATATAAATCTAAAAATATAATTAAAAGATCAAAATGAATATTTTGCATTTATAAAACTATCATATCTCTTGTTTTTAAAAAGAATTTATTACACAATAATATTATTTTGAAACATTCTTAGCTCTTACCCCTTTTTCCTAGACAAATATCCTTTCAATTTAATTACTATAATTACAAAGTTGAATGAAATTTATTTGAGTGGGAGGAATTATACCAAGCACCAACCAAAGACAAGGACATTGTCACATAATAAGCTCCAAATATGGTATGAGAAATTCCATTTTACTTTCCTCATATACATTACTTTACCATTTATTTCAATTATTTTCATAATCACACATTCTTAAATCATAATCTCATCACTCAAACCCTTCAAAACTTCAACCTTACTTATTCTTTTTTTCCACTCATCACTCAACACTTTCATTGCATTGCTTTTCATGTTCCAAACTCAAAACCCCAAAAATCCATTTTCCTCATTTTCATTTCATCAAACACTTGGTACCCATTCTACTTTCATCCAAGTTTCAGTCTTTCTCATTGGAGTGGCTTGAATTGTCGCACAACATCAGATCCGTTTACGTTTACGTGAGTGAGTGAGTCTTAATTTGATAATTCAACTATGAATTTGGTTTCCGATTTTGGGGTTTTATAAAAATTGTGTTTTTTTTTCCTTTCAATTCCATTGATTTCTGTTGTAACTGCTTTGTGGGGTTGTTTTTCTGTCCCATTCACTATATGTATATGTAACTCCTTTTGTTGTTTGCTTTGTTGCAGATTTTTCTTGTGGAACAAATAACTCAAGTAACTCAAGTAAAGGCTTGTTTTTGTTTCTATTGATCATTAGTATGAATGAATTTATTCTTTGGTTTTAAAGAATTGTAGAGTTTTTAATCTGAATCCTGAGATATTTCAGAAAGTGGAATTGGGTAGGGTTGATAGTTGGGTTGGAGATTGAGAAAATGATTGTGAGGAAAAGCCTGGGGAGGGTAAAGTCAGTACTAATGCTGCTTATGGTGTTGGGGTTTTTCTTTGCAACTTATAATTTGGTGTCGATGATAGTAGGACATAAAGTCGGAACTGATTTGGGATCTATTGTTGATGGAAAAGTGGAGTTTACGAATACGAAATCAAAATTCCATGTTGCTGTTACTGCGACCGATGCTGCTTACAGTCAATGGCAATGTAGGATTATGTATTATTGGTATAAGAAGGCGAAGGTTATGCCTGGATCGGCTATGGGAAAGTTCACCCGAATTCTGCATTCAGGAAAGGGAGATCAGTTGATGAATGAAATTCCTACTTTTGTTGTTGATCCTCTTCCTGATGGTTTGGATAGGGTATGTACTTTTATGTTTCTATCTTTTCAGCATGTTGTTTCAGTGAATTCTTGTTTTAATATCAATTTTACAAATCATGACATAAAGAATAGTATGAGGGAAGAATGATTTTCTTATGAATAGGATTAGGATGTCTCAGACTTATGACACACACACTACAGACCAACCGTTTGTGCTAGACCCACAGGTAGGAGAAAAGAATGACATAGCTGTTTGGTTAAATAATTTATTGCATAAGGTTTAGTCATTTAAGTTTGAAATCAAGTGTTATCAAATATCTGCAATTGCGGCACTATGGTGGATATACGTGGCGGTTTTTTGACTCGCCGCAATGGTATATATCGGCCGATATTACGGGTTTTTATGTCATAATCCGCTATAACGGCGCAGCAAAGTGTCTGGCATGTCAAAATTTTGGCTCTCAGCCATGGACCGTCATCTGCCAAGGACAACATTGAAATCAACATATTTTGTAGATTAAGTTGTATAAAAAGATTAACAGAATATTGGAACCGTGGAGAGAAAGAAGAACCTCCGGATATTTTCTTTGTAATCCAAGCTTTATGATTGTGATTGTGTCAAATGTTATAATCATCATAACTATAGTTTGTTTTTCTAAAACTGATGAAGAAATATAGTTAGTCCACCTTGTGAAGATTGTTGTTCAAAAGAGGTTTTGAATCTGAAGTGTTACATTTTCTTTTCTTTTTCTTGTTATCATCAACTTATGTTTCTCTGCACTCAATATTTGTTGTGGTTATATTATTGCTTTCTTTTAAAGTAGTTGTATTCTTGCTTTAAGTTATGAATATTTATATTGCTGGTGGTGATTGACATGCCTTGGAAATTCCAGATTCGTCCATAGTAGCATACGATTGTAACACATTGGTTGTTTTCAGTGCAAGCATCTATAACTGTATGTATGATTTCTGTAGTGATGAATGATTTCCATTTCTATATTGATTGATTTTATCTTACTAGTGACAAGGTTTTTAACATGTTCCAAACTATTGTAATTATCTACTACAGTGTTGCCAATTGCGGATAGCAGTTTGTTCAAATTCTTGTATAACCTTTATTCGACAAACTTTGTGCTACATAGTGTTTCACATATCAGTAGTAATTTGTTCAGACTCTGACAAACTTTGTGCTACATAGTGTTTCACATATCAGTAGTAATTTTGTTCAGACTCTGACAAACTTTGTGCTACATAGTGTTTCACATATCAGTAGTAATTTGTTCAGACTCTGCAATGCGTAAGCGCTATAGTGACTATCTGACGACACTGATCTACTACATCATTAATATCACTGTTCTTAATTTTTCCATATTTTTGCTTACTCTTCGTGCTCTTATCAATTTTCTTTTGGTTCAGGGTTATATAGTCCTAAATAGACCATGGGCTTTTGTTCAATGGCTGGAGAAAGTGGTTATTGATGAAGAGTAAGTGTTATAATTTTCTACAATTTATGTTTTCTTTTTGAAGAATGAAATCTAAGAAGCTGTGCATTTTATGATTTGTGCAGATATATTCTGATGGCAGAACCTGACCACATATTTGTCAATCCTTTGCCTAATTTGGCTTCAGAAAATGAACCAGCAGGGTATCCGTTTTTCTATATAAAACCAGCTGAAAATGAGAAAATTATGAGAAAATTCTATCCTAAGGAAAAGGGTCCTGTTACTGATGTCGATCCCATTGGCAATTCCCCCGTCATCATCCACAAGGTGAAGTTTCAGTTAGTAATAGCTTGCATATTGTTACTGATTAAATTTAGGTTTAAATATCTTTTGGTCCCTGCAAGGGTTTGACTTTTATGTATCATCAGTATTTGTTGGAGGAAATAGCTCCCACTTGGGTGAACGTTTCGTTGAGAATGAAAGATGATCCTGAGACGGATAAAGCTTTCGGATGGGTGCTTGAAATGTGAGTATCACAAATTACAGTAAAAAATCAACAAACAACACACATTGTTTCTTGTTATTTACCGCATTTAAATATTGTTGTTTTCGTTTTATAATTTCTCTTCGGCAATGGTCAGTACTGATAGGTCTAACCTTACTACTTTAACTCTTTGAGTAAGGTATGCTTATGCTGTAGCGTCTGCGTTGCATGGTATAAAGCATACTCTTCGGAAAGACTTTATGCTGCAGGTTCGAATTGCTCATACTGTCTTGTATTTTTCTTTTCTCCCGTTTCTTTCTGTTTTTACTTAACAAAGTTGTAAAGTTTAACATGAATAGTTGGAATTTTTCAGCCGCCATGGGACTTAGAAGTAGGGAAGAATTTTATCATACATTATACATATGGATGTGACTACGATTTGGAGGTGAGTTCATTTCTTTTTCATTTAACCTATATCGGTTTTGCATGCTTAGTTGTTTGATTATCGTGTAATTTACTTGTTATCGATTCTTCGTCTAGGGGAAACTGACATATGGGAAGATTGGAGAATGGCGTTTTGACAAGAGATCATATCTGATGTCTCCTCCACCTAATAACATTTCCTTACCACCTCCCGGAGTTCCCGAAAGTGTGGTAAGTCTATTCTTTCTAGAATTCGACATGATACTTAGTTTTTTTGTTGTTGTTGCCAATTAATACTTTGATGATAATTTTTGCAGGTGAGGCTAGTAAAGATGGTGAATGAGGCTACTGCAAACATACCTAATTGGGATTCATTAAATAGAAGCTAAGAGAAAGCTAACAAATCATAAACACTTATTTGGTTTCAAAATAAATTAGTTTATGCAAATACAAAGGGTGATTTTGTGCTTGCTTTGAAGATAGATCTTTATAATAGCCATTTTATTATTTTGCATTCAAACTTGTACAAGACATTTATTTGCAGTCTATTCTTTCACCCCACCATCAATGCTGCTTTTTATTAGATATGTATTTCAGTTTTAAAAGTTATTAGATATGTAATTTAGTTTTAATAGTTAGAAGTTAGTTATAATGTGGTTAGACAATTATAATTAACTTCACATGTAGTTACAAGTGAAGTCGTGTAGAGAAAATATTTTTGACCTACAAAAAGTGAAGAAGGTTCTAAGAGCTCCTCTGCCAAGTTTGATCATATCGTTGTGGCAATTGAAGAGTCCAACGATTTATTTGAAATGTTGTGGCCATTGAAGAGTCCAAAGATTTATTTGAAATGAAGCTTGAAGAATTGCAAGCATCTCTTGAAGCTCATGAGTTGGTGCTGAAATAGAAAAATTCATATAAGGTGTTTGAATAAGCTTTGCCGGCTAAATTCTTCAAAAAAAAGAAGACTCTTCAAAGAACAACAAAAGGAAAAAAAGTGGTTTGAAAGGCTCAATGATGGCGGGTCTAGGGAATAGGGCGCAATGATGACGACCCATAGGTTTCCCTAGGTGTGCGCCCGCTCACGTGCTAGCGAAGTTGCCTATAAATGGGAGAGAGAAAGCTTCATTTGTATCTTTCACTTGCCTTTCCCTGCTCGCTTATACTAGTTCTACAAAGCGCCTCCGCTCACCTCCAAAGTTTTTGCTCATGCCACCGCTAAATCTTCCCAATCAAGTAAGTTTCTTCATTTTCTCTAGTTTCCGTGAATTTCATCTCTGATTTAGGTTAGATTTTCCGATTTCCCATCTAGAGATGCATGCGGTTAGGATTGATGTGGCTTAGTGGAGGAATTTCTTGATGGTTTGTTGGTGTCTGAAGGTAGTTCTGCCACACAAGAATGCTGGCTCCGCCGCGAGTTCTCTAGTGATGTTTGGCATTTGGGCCGTTTCAGGGTTTCAGTCGTGAACTTTATGCGTTTCTGATGAACCTTCATGATGGGTGTTATAACTCAATTGTTGGGGAGGTAGCCCATTCGTGTCCATATTTTGTTGTTTGAGTAAGGCTCCGGTCGAGGACGTGGTCCTCGTGCCTTCACGCGCCCTTTCACTTGACTGACGGTGGAAGGGTGGATTTGATTTTGATGTCGAATTCAGTTTCTTCCTCTGCTTTTCAGGAAAAATGGTCAGTAGTTTTGAGGATGATGTTATGGGCGAGCAAAATTCCTCTGATTAATCTACGTCCGACCAAGACACAACCGAAGAGAATTCGTCCGAGCAAACCACGTCGGGGAAACTCAAAGTTTATGGTAAAAATGCTCCCATACAAGAAGTACATGTGGTCTCCTAAGGGGTAGATTGGATTGCTCGGGGTCATTTAGAGATTGTCTCACATCTTGCCGAGCACTCGGGTGATGCGTTCATTGTTGTGTCTGCGGAGATGGAATGGGGGAACGCTGAGGAGGATTGGGTTGTTTATGTCCCTGGGAAGTATGACAGGATTTGTACAAAATATGATGGTAACCACCTTCCTATGCACGATACCGTTTTCAGGGACATGGGTCTCTGGCTTCCTATCACCGACCTGCAGATGGCCATTTTTTATTATCTTCATCTCGCTTCCTCGCAACGTCACCCCAACTCCATAGCCTTTCTGCGGAATTTTGAGATTGTGTGTGATTATTTGAAAATTGGGGCCACTGTCCCTTTGTTTTTCTATTGTTTTCATCTTCAACAGGGCACTGTTGGAAATCAGTTCGGATGTATCTCCTTAAAGCAAGCTAATGAGAAGTTGTTTAAGGCCTATCTTGAATCTGCCCAGAATTTCAAGGACAGGTACCTGCTGGTCCAGCCTGTGTCGTAGAAGGCGATCCTTAATGTGTTTGACAGTGTCCCTAAGTTCGGGCCGAATGGGCAGCCGATGTTGAAAGAGGAAGGCGAGGCTATGAGGCAGCTTGTGTAGAAGTTTAATTTTCATTGGTATAGGGAACATTTTGATCGGGGCACAAATCACTATATAGTGAAGGCAGGTCAGCTGAACATTGACAATCAGGCCAGTTACGACCAGCTATTGGCTTTCATTAAGGGGATACCCCGGTCCAGCGTGTGGGAAAATGGGGAAGGCACGTCGTCAATGAGGATGGGAAGCCAGTGTTTCAACCGGGCCTTCTAAATGTTAAAGAGCTCCTTGAGTGTGAGGACCCTATGAAGTATTTAGGCAGTTGTCCTGTATTTGTCCTTGTCTGTGCGCGCGTTCCTTTGCCTTTGTTCGCTAACAGTTACTTGTTTATTTGTAGGAAAAATGAATACCGCTCAGGAGTGTATAGTCAAATTATCCGCTATTAAAGCGAAGAGTGGGCAGAAGTCTGCTAAAGGCTCTCAGGGTGAAACAGGGACGACTCCCCAGACTGGTTCGGGAACATCGTTGACTGGCCAAGTTGTCGGGCACCCTTCTTCTCAATAAGTGTCGTTGAGGTTCAAGAGACCATGTATTGAGGGCAATGTTGACCTGGCGAATGAATAGGAAAATGGCAAGTACAAACTACCCCCATGCTTTCACGACAGGACTTTCTTCGAGGGCGCTTCTCTACAGGTCACCGAGCTGAATCATTGGTGCTTGAAGAGATGGATCGTCCGAGGAAGCGGACGGTGCTGGCCCAAGAGCTGGTGCTCTGATGAGGATTTTGGGGATGAAGGTCGTGTATGCTGAGGAGGATTCTTCCCAGGAGGCTGAGCTGAAGAAGTCTTAGGCCAAAATAGCGGCTCTCGAGGAGGAGCTCAACAAGGAGAATTTTGCAAATAAGGCCTCAACAGAGAGCCTGACTAAGTTAGCCAAGGAGCGTAAGGCTCTTGTGGTGGAAAAGAAGACCCTCGAGGATACAATCGCAACTATGAGGGTCGAGGATACCCCTACCGAGGACGAACCAGAGGGGGGTAATGGTCTGAAGACCCGAGTAGAGTTGGTTACTCGCCTTCAGTTGGATGTGGATGATGGTCTAGCCAATGCTGAGGGAAGTTTCAACAATGTTGTGGCGCAGCTTAGATTGGCGAATCCCGAGGTGGAGCTGAACACGGCAAGAATATAATTTCTCTACTATGTGGCAGATGAGAAGATTGTCGTCCCTGAATCCCTCAAGTTCAGATAGGATAGATTAGTCGAGGAGCCTCCCCGAGACATGCGCGTGGTGGACCATCCCAACCCAATGTTTGACCAGCTTATTGTTGTTCTCTTTTATTTCGGCATGCATGTCATACTTGTAGTATTTGTTCTAGGGCTTTACCCATTTTGTGTAATTTTCAAACAATTGTGGTCCTTGCAGCCACTTGCTCGTATTTTGTATGGGGGTTTTGTGCTCCCTTTATGTAATGTTCTGACAATTGCGACCTGCGTGGTCATCTTTTAATATTTCGACTGTGGTGGTCATTTTCTTTACCATGCATTGTTTAAGTATTTTCCTTTATTCAAGCATGTTTTGTAGCTCAATATTGTTGATTGTGTGCATGTTTGTATACTCGTCCGCTAGAGATGTTTCTTTTGTTTAAGAGTTTTCAGGGGGTTGCTTGTTAGTGTTTGAGGTTCGCTACTGAGGGGAACTAGTCTAACGGCCAGGGTAATATTCGGGCATGAGCCAGAACTCAAGTGTCGTTTGGGGCCTAAGCTCGGCGACATGAACTTCCCATTGCAAGCCGGGTGTTCTATCATCATGGTACGACAATAATGGAGCTCGTTTGAGTTTTCCATGTCGGGCTAAGAATCTACTGGTCAAAAGAGTGGAGACTTGCCTCTTTGTTTAATTTGGAGTGTTATGCTTGTACCTGAGCATGCACGCATGGTATGGACTGTTGTGTCTGTTGCTTCAACAAAGCACGCCGATTATTTCTGTGCCTTAACTTTAATATTGCTTCAGTATTTTGGCGTTCCAAGTGTAGCTGTAAAAATTAGAGACTAAGCCAGTAATTGACTTAACTCATATCAATGAAGTTGCCACTGCACTTTTATTTTATCCAAAGAATGGCAAAAGAAAGAATAAACCCAAAATAAAATAGAGATGAAGATACGATGGTTAGTTATGCAAAGGAAATATTTTAACACCCTAAACATATACGGTACTCCGCAGGAACCTCTTTGAAAATCAGTGTATATGCTAAAAATGGTTGTTTGCAAAATGACTGGAGAAATGAGGAAATAAGTTGTTTTTATAATTTTTTCACCTGTCGTGGTTGAGAATCTTTTGTGCCTACGTACCTCCTTCGTGCAATAGAGGATCAGGGTACTCGTAGTTCACCTTAAAATTTTTGAAAGTTGATGTGTTGATTGATTTTTAAGTGAAGAGACGAGTCATCATTTTTAGGGAGAAGACTCGCCTAATCTCCCACAAAGTATGAGAAATAGGGACAACACACCAACATGAGGGAGGGTTTGAGAACGCCTCTAGTACTCAAGTGGAGAATTCAACATCTTTTCAACCATGTGGATAGTAAGATGACATCTTGGCTATAAATGAATCATGTCTAATCTTGAAAAATATTTTAAAGGAAAAAGGTGCACGATGGCACAAAAAGGGTTGAATGAGGTTGGATGTTTTTAGTCTTTTTGAAAGAGTTATAATATGGTTAGATGAATTAGTATTTGTTAAGAAAAGAAATTTGGAAAAAAAAAGTCACTTGACAAGGTCAAGGTTTATTATAAAAGTGGTCAAGTTTATTGAAGATAATAAGGTTTTGAAAAAAGAGGGAGAAGACTTTGAAATTAAAGAAGATAAGAGGAGATGAATGGACTATCCTAAAGCATAAAGTAAAAGCTAAGATAAAGAATGATCTAACCAACAAGAAGCCAACACTTGACATAAAGAAGTCAATGTAGAATTCTCATCCTTTGGATTAAAAACCAA